AAAAAAGGCCATCAAAAGGGCTTTGGCCCCTGTTTGGAAAGGAGGTAACGAAACGAACTACATAGCTCAGAAGAAATTCTTTTCTCCCCAATTCCTAGTAACGACTTGGGAAGTCCTTTGCTGAATTCATAATTTCAGTTGGATAACAGCTTTGGTCACCAACAGGTAACATATGGAAGATCGCGTGCGCTCATGTTAGCATTCATAATGAGTTATTGCTCAAATGAATTACGGTAGTTGTTGGATTCGGGATTTCCGGGTAGAATCACCCGCACTTACACCTCTTCTCATAGTCAACATCATTTCAGTCCTCTAAACCGTTTGGATATCATATCTCTCTGCAATATTTCATGATACTAAATGATAATCCGCTCTTTGAAAAAGGTCATGAAGCCTTTTGACAATTGTTCCAACAGCTTCAACAATTTTCGCGAGCCCTGAATGGAATGACGTCATCCGGTTAATAAGAATAATTTAATTGTGCCCTAAGAACAACGGCAAACATTATTTACGGGGTTTGTTTAATCAAAGGTTTTTCATATTTGGACAAACAGGGGGACAATCAAGTGGGACCCTTTCTTTATTACTAAACAATCCCAAATTTGGTAACTTCTCGTCTATGGACTGGGGATATTTACTATAAACTGCCATATAAGTACAGCAGCATATGTGGATTTGCCAATAAACGTCATAGACGTCTACGGTATTCTTGTGGGCGGGCCACATTGTATACCACCTGGAGGGTGCTTCCACCCATGCCCATGTCACCTCAGTGTGTGTTCATCTTCAATCCCTTGAACCAGCTCATCCCTCATCTCTTCACCCAGCCCTCTTCTCCATCCCTTCATTGAAACACGCTGGACAATCTTTCCTCTTATACTCGATCTAATTTCACATCTCTTCTCACCGACCGAGTACAATGAATGCTTAGCGACGTCTCATTAGCACACGCGACGTTTCATTGTAATCGCTGCCCGGCATTTGCTGGTCTTTTAACTATCTGCTAAGGTTACCAGTATATGTTCAACATTGGAAATGTCACGTATTTTCAGTATGAGCAGTCGCCGAAAGACGAATCCAACACGACTCAGCGACTCTGAACTCGTCCATATCGTCCACAATCCATCCACATCGCTCAGCAATTCGGCTGAGATGATTGAGCATCTTGTGGATCATTCAAAAAGTCGTCATATCATGATAACTGATGAGGTAACTAATTGGACGAGTTTCATTAAAACCCGATTTCTAGGGGAATTCGGTGTGGTTGGGTGACGTGGGTAATCTTCTGGAGCTGCCTATAGTCTGGGTAAAAGTTTAAGCTCTTGGAATGCTCCTGGGATCGTTGATACGGCCTTTCAAGAGGGATGCTATCAGTTTTTTTTAGAATGAGCTTGACATCACGAAAAAGCTTTTGACGTTCTTCAGGTGCTTTGATTCTGGCCGTCGGTCAGCGGCAGCTTCTTTTGCAGCCTCCTGCGTTCGCCCTTTTTTGTCCACGGGGGCGCATTTTGATTGTGTGGCACGTTTCCCCCTTAAGAGCTATCAGTTACAATCTTGACCTTAGCCGTTTTGTCATTTTCTGGATGAATTTCATTGCAAACAAAGCCCACGACACCGGGAAACCTTATAGGTAGGGCAGCGCATAACTTTCAGCCCCTGAAATGTCCCTTTTCACATACAGACAGGTGTAGCAGCGTGATAAAGCGCGATTTCCTTATTACTGGTACATGAATCTCATCGTAATTACTACTAGTCAATGAGGGGGGCAATCATTGTCGTCGAGGTGGGTGGGGTGTGTGCAAATTTCCATGCTATTGAATCGCGGGTTAGCATTTTATCTGTGGCATTTCGCTAACTATGTGTGTGGTCTTTATGGGACAGCTGTACTAGAACAACTGGAACTGCCCCTCCCGGAATTGATCCTACCCTATCTTCCCTATTTAGCTTTTCCCTATTTAGAGATGTTCTTTTTTTTCACAAAATTTCAATTAGTTAGCTATGCGCCGTTGTAATATGCCCTCAAAGAACAATCACTAATTGTTCGCGCCGTGGTTGAATCTCTGTCACTTTTGATTCACTACTAATTGTGTGTAATTAATATAGAAACACTGTTAGATGTAAGGATATGTCCTGATTGGTGTACAATTTCGCGTAGCAGCGTTTTACAAAGGCAAAGTCAAGCTTCTTGCTAGCTTGCTGGCTTGCTGGCCAGCATCGAAAGGGGGATAGGACGATGGCCGCNCGCCGACACGGCGATATCAGGCGGCAGTGTCGGGCAATGGCCGCCGTTACATGAGGAGGGCTAGCTAGAAGTAGGAGGAGGAGGAGAAGGAAAAGAAGGAGGAGTCAAGTCAGGAGGGGACCCTTATACCGCGTCTCAACTACATTGTCCTTTGCCCGATTCTTTCATGTTGATAATGTTCCCTTCCCACACCTCACCTAGATCCTAGCAGCATCTCATTCCAATGATGTGACCCACGGAGATACGATACAAATAATTACCAATAGCTGTTTCTCACTTTCCTTTGAGTTAGTGCTTCTGCGAAATAGCTTTTCAAAGCCCTTTTCTAGGATATGGACAGTTCACCAAATCCAGCCTCATCACCTCCCGGTGCCTCTATTAAGAGCAGTGCCAGCAGTACATCTGAACACACGAGGTAGGCCCTTTCTTTTGTTCGGGTATTTTAAGGTTGTATGAGCTGATTCCGTTCCGATTTCGGTACCACACTGGCCATAGGCCGAGTATTTTTGGAGATTTTCCGTTTTTGTTGCCATTTTTGGAATTTCCTGTTTCAGTCCCTGGACATTTACTCTCTCTGGCTTTTCGGTTTTTCATCCGATTTTCGCGCCAATGCTTTGAATCATTTGCCAGAGCACTGTTACGGTATTCCCACTGAATGAAGGCGTTGTTCGTCGTTCGAGGCTCTGTTAGTTTGATGGCATTGAATGAAGGCACAAAGACATCAGCGGTAAATGTTTGAAGCTGAAACAGTGTTCTCCGTCGAACGGCCACGAGATCGTCGACTTTTTTTCACGCCTTTTGCTGACCATTCTGGCCTTCATCAATGTGTGATTCATTTGCTGTTTATTCCACAGTACCGAAACCTCCTTTCTTCTTCCTCCTTCAAAACTTTTCCCTTCTCACCCTTCACATCTCCTCCTTCAGCTCTCCTTTTCAGAGTGAGCAGTTCCGTTGTTACATATGGTTTTTCCTAAACTTCTTTCACAAAACCCCTTTACACATCATTATCTCACCTGTCATTCCCGCTTGTTCTTTTGATCAGCCGCAGCATGTTCCATCGTGGACGTATTGCCACCATTGATAAGAAATGACCGCGCTCGAACACGGGTTTTCTTCCCCCTCTATCAGTAACGAAACGAAAGTAAAAGTTGGCTGTAGCGGTCACTTTACTTTATTGTACCAGTTTTTTTTGGCTCAGTTCTGAATTACGTCACTTCCTAGTGTTTCCCGTTACAGCCTGGAACGGTTACCGTCAGGCTGGCGCTTTGTGCCTCTTCCTCTTTGAGATTTTGTTCGCACTGGGTTGCGGACAATTTATTGGATGTTTGGCGCGCTACAGTAATGCCATTGTCCAGTCGCCTTTGTTCTGTAGCGTCTTGCACTATGCCGTCCGTACTGAACCTAATAAATTACGCTCTTTTGTGAAACATATACATGCGCACGGGTGAAATGTGACATAACGTGAAGCGAGGGGGGCAGGCAAGCGAAGGGAGGGCGAGGGTACTGCGATTTCCCCCAAAAAGTCATTATCGTTTCGAAAACTCTCTCTCCATTTCACATTTGTTGCGATCGCCGCACTTTGGCCATTGGAGCAAGGGGGNCAATGACGGCATTCAAACAGAATGGCAATTAGCATTACCGTATATTCAATTGTATGCGATGAGCGGCTTGCGCTTGAGCGCTCACACGCTATCCGTTTGACACACAAAATGGCAATAGAAAAGTTGAGTGACAGCCACGGGGCAAGAGCGACGACAAAATGGGAATTCGCTTCATTTGACGTCGCGTAACTCGCCACTGATGACACCACACCACTATGTAGATTCACCACCGTTAACGTTGTCGCCAATGGCATCACCATACACACCCAGCCCAGCCACCCGAAATGCGTAGGGTGTAGTGAATGGTTTCATTTTCTTTCCCCGATGTACTTTTGAATTCGAAGTAGAAACGTCGTTACAGTACACCGCCGAGCTGTAGTGACCTTTCCATAGAGGCCATGTTTTGACACATGGCGTAACTTACCGGAAGTGATGTTGTGATTCTTTGCGAACGTCGTGTCAGCCAGCCAGCCAGCTAGCAGCCGAATGTCATACAACGAAGGCGACACGACGACGATACAGCCCAAGTCGTTGACCCTCTCTCTCTGTTATCGGTGAGGAGGGATCAACGGCGACAAACTTTGTCGACGAGTCCCCTGATAAGCACATGCACGCGTTGTCCACTACGGGGCAATGGTCAGCAGCAGTTGTCCCGCTTATGTCATCACAAGTTGCCCCCTTCCCGTTTCTTTCCAGCAGACATCAGAGCATAATCAACTGTGTGGAACGGCTGTAGGCAGCTGTTGCAACTCCATCATCTGAACCATTTAACTGATGTGTTTTGCTAGTGGATGAGAGCCTAGAAAAATCCTCACACGGTGAACAGCTTGTGAACAATATGTTTTCTTAACGTCAAGATCCTAACATCACGGCCATGATGTATAACCTGTCTACTACTGTGTATTCCGCTACCACTTGATATCTCAGTATACCCTCAGGGATCGCTGCCGGACCGTATATTCCGGTGGTTTTATCGTTTCATGAACCTTTTTTCGTGAAAATCTTCTATCGCGAAATCGCTAAACGTTCGTTCATCTATCAGTAAAGGGTGTGTATGCCCAATTTTCCACATGTGCTATTTGAAAGTGTTAGGGATGCACGTTTAGTAGTGCGCATCGACGAACATTGCCGGCATCAGTAACTAAGCTAATGACCGCATAGAGAATTCTATTCTTCTTTCAATCGAATACCGCCCTATGGGGTTGTCGTCTAATTCTTCTTCATGCTCCACACATTCATTAAATATTAAATTAAATCGAAGACAGTTAAACGGGGCTATCACAAGTTGTGTCGGGGCGAGTCTCCAAGGTGCTCTCTCTGTCATCGTTATTATGCCATTGAATTGATATCTCCTTAATTACTCCAATTCATACACGGATCGACGGATAGGAAGCGAGAGGGATGGATGTACAATCCATCGTTCCTGCCATATTTCATCTCATTTGTTTGTTCGGCCATTTTCTAGAAAAAACTTTGATGTTGAGTGAATGGCTGGACCTACAGTGGGCACTCTGAACATGTTACTTTGTTCAAAATCTTTCCGCTTAGTGGAAAAATTTTGAATTTGTTTTCGTTCCAACATGACAGTGGACGTTGTTGTTTTTTGACGACACAGGCGTAACATTCTTGATCTAAAACAAAATGAACAAATAAACATCCGATCCGCTGAATATATGGTTTGTTTCTTTGGTAGGGACACGGCAGAATAACAAGCGTTATCATCGGTTTCAGTCGCACTCGGTCAGACAATGATTTCTCTTACTTTCCATGGAATGACAGTAAATGATGTTTTTTTAGCACGTCGGCTACTACTGGTGTTACTGATTTTCCTGATATACTCGCTCAAACTGAACAAGGTTGTACAGTTCTCATTGACGGTAATACACTCAGGGAACTTTTAAATTCATTTGAATCACACGACGGGAAGCTCGATCTCATACAAAACGTGATTCGACAGGTAAACAGGAAGATAGTGAGCCACGAGTTACTGCTTATTCAAGAGTAACTTTTAGTTGACAACGTTAAAAGAACGACTATCAAGTGAAGAGCTAACAAAAGAGGACAAAGAGGAACAAACCGATACCTTCATCAAGGACGATCGTAGCCAACAGGTAATAGCTTACTTTGGATTACCACTTCTTACTTTGTTAGGACTATCGTAACTCAGCCCCTGGATCACGTAATGCTACCGTAACGTTATGTTTCTTTTTATATGCCGCCAGTAGTCCCCCTTCGCTATGTCGCCGCGGCTATTGTTGCAGCTGGTGCGAGCGGCTTCCGTCTAACGCGCGTGTGCATCCGTCGTTTTTTTTTTCTCACCTTTTCTTTTCCTTTTAGTCAAAAGACGACGATCATTCCTTCTTATCATTCGTGGTGATTTTCATTTAGAAAATGCAATCGGACAGTTTTGATGAGATGCTGCTCCGGCAACAGATGCTTATTCATCAACAAAATCAGCAACGAATTCTGGCAATGATGACACAACCAAATCTTTCATTACTTTTTCCCGGTAAGTTGTACAGGGACAAAAGGTCCCCCCGTATAAATTCATGAAATCTTAACTGGTCCGCCTGTGCCGATACCTTTCATGTAGGCAGTAATGGCGGTTTAGCAAAGAAGACATGGGGCTGATCGGGGTGCAATGTGCCAGCTGTGCCTTTGTACCATTAGCTCGTTAATGAAACAATTAAACATTTCCACTGAACCTGCACACCGAAATGATCACATACAAACAGGCGCATTGATTTTGACCCATTATAGGGGCTCATTATGAGCATCTGCTTGGAAATGGCATGATTAATACTGGAATGCCTTCACTACTACATCAGAATCTGACCGCATCATTGGCTGCCGCCTCGGCTACACCGAAACCGAAGCCAGAAAAAGTTCCCGATTGCCCACTCAATCTCACCAAGGTAATAGACAGCCGCTGAGTGGCGGAAGTGCTTTTTCTAAAGGGTTCTAGCGATTTCAGGTTAAGACCGAAGAGATCAGCAAACCAAGTCCGGTGATTCCGACGTTATCGACGTCTCCGTTGACGCCCTCGAACATTCTTGGCAGAATTCCATTCGGAATGCCTCATAACTTCGCTTCTGATTGTAAGGATTCATTTTCACTTTTTTGAATGCGAATCACCTTCAATGATAACAAACAAAGACGATGTTTGTTCGGTTCCCTGTTAAAGTCGAACTGCTAATCAAACAAAGCTTTTTCATTGGGGTCAATGACATTTGTTTATTTAACTATACAGTAACCTGATTTATAGATAATTTTCAAAAGTAATGACCAAGTATCTTCCAATCCTCATAAATTTTGCTTATTTAGCATCAGCATTCACAAATCACTCACCGGCTTCATCTGGAAAGAGCACTCCCGGAAATGGCTCGCTACTCTCCTCACTTGAGCCTCCAACGAGCGTTCGAACTCAGGCCAAATCACCGAATCACATCAAAAGGCCTATGAATGCTTTTATGGTACTGTCATAACTGGACAACTTACAAGAATTATTAAATATATTATAAATATAACCAGATGAGATAAATATAACCTATTCATGAAGGTGTGGGCCCGTGATGAGAGAAGGAAGATCCTGAAAGCACATCCAGACATGCACAATAGCAATATTAGTAAAATTCTCGGTATGATCCAGTAAACTTATACTTGTTACGATTTGTTGATGATCACTTATCGATTATAGGAAATCGATGGAAATCGATGAGTAATTCGGAGAAGCAACCATACTATGAGGAGCAGTCACGTCTCAGCAAATTGCACATGGAGCAACATCCCGACTACCGTTACAGGTATGATGTAGTAGAAGCATTCAGAGGGCATTAATAAAGCCCCCCCCCCTAATTTTTCCTGTTGGAAGCCTGCCAATAAAAAACCGTTCCATTTCAGACCACGACCAAAACGAACGTGTCTAGTGGACGGGAAAAAAGTTCGTATCAACGAATACAAGACGATGATGAAAAAGAAAGAACCAAGCTGGCCTGAAGATCAATCGATATCTCCCACATCACAAGTGAGCTACACTATATCGTGATTACCGTATCCCTGTATATGTATGTTTTTCAGTTGGATTTTGCGGGTTTGACTGGAGCAGCTTTGTTGGCCGATTTTGCCCATCATCATCAATCGCATATGTTACAAACAGCTGAATAGACACAGTAGTCACATATGCTCCCCCTTCATTATCCTTCGAAATCACATATTCATCATTGATTTATGATATTGATCCTCTCATACATGCATCGATTTTTCACTCACTCATCGATTATTGATTTTGTTTTGTTTTTATTTCTATTTGATATATTGATTTTGTTTTATACGTATTAGTATTGCCGCGACAGGAATCTCTGAACCGTCCGCATTGCGCTTTCTCTGTGCATAATTGTTTTCTTAACTATCTCTTTCTTTCTTTTTTTTCGTACTTTTTCGGAAAACGGACGGTTTCACTTCGAATTTCCATGTATACTGTATCTCAGACATCAAATCCCACTATTATAATATCCCCTTTCCTTATCATTGTTGTGTCATCAATTGTTATTTGCTGTTTCATATCCTGCTAAATATTTTTTTGTTTACTTTTACTTATTTTCTGTCTCTCCCTCTCTCAACAGTTGGTCCATATCTCTTGAACTCCTGCACGTATATGTCTTCCTAAATTAATTTTCGTGTCATTATTTACGGCAATTTTGAAGACGCGGCACAGACTGCTGCTGTTTATTTTCAATTTTAATTTTATTTACCTATGTATTTTAATGTCATCAATCGACTCACTGTGTATATTTGAAGCATATCAAAATCTTCATATGTCTTGAAATTAATTTCTTTCTTTTTTTCATTTTTTTATTCATTTTTAAAATTATGTCTGTTCCGTTGTGGCGTGATTTCACAATCCCCGTATTTCCTTAGTGAACTAGTCTCGAGAGTGTTTGTGTCTATAGGTCCAGATTTTCTATTCATTCAACTACTTACTAGTAATCTC